TCTCCTCCTCCTTCCGTCCCCTTGGCATGCAAAATACAGATCCAATGAATACCTACACAATAAGAGTTCAGTATTTTGTCCCTGGAACTCCCTCTATGCCCATTCTGTAACTCCTGTGCAGGATTCCATTGTTCTGGCTACCGCTGAGCTTGACGTTACGTGAATTGCACCTGCGGTGTGGCCCGGTCTGGGGTTGTACAATGCAATACTAACTTGAAGCTACCAGGAGTTCAACAGAGTAAAGGTTTCAGGATATGCTTTCGGCGAACTAAATTGCTTTTCACGTTACATTTTATTTCTTATTGTTAATATTTTCATCTGTAAATGTTGTGCTCCTATATGAAAGTTAAATGCCATATACTAATTTTCCATAAAGTCTGTGTTTGCTCTTTGGTGGTCTTCAGCCTGACTTCTGAAATCACTTCTTTACAGTTGAATGCTGTTGATACTTGATTTCAGTGAAGCTATTTCTGATCAGCGTCAACATTCTAGCACTTCATGTGTTTTCCCAGCCCAGAGATCTGTCAGTTCCTATGTCTTGCTATTACGAGATGAAAATTGAGTAAGAAGGGTCTGTGGCAATATAAAAAAAAAAAAAAAGGAAAACAAAAATTGAAAAGAACGATAAAATTTGTCCCTCATGATTCACTGCTGACAATTCACTTCTGAATTTGTTTTTTAGGTACTTCCCATCAAGGTGGCTATTCCCACGATGCTGTGGTCCATGCATTACAAAAATGTGGCATTCGTCATATTGACACAGCAAAAAGATATGGCTGTGAATCTCTCCTCCAGAAAGCCATCAGAGAGAGCGGTGTGAAGCGGGAGGACCTCTGGATAACAACCAAACTGTGGCATAGCGATTATGGCTATGAAAACACAAAAAAAGCCTGCTTGGAGTCATGTGAAAGACTTGGTGTTGAGTATCTTGGTATGAATCTTTACATATAGCTCATTTATTGTGCCTTCCATGTGGGTGTTTGCAAAGAATTCCTGAAAAAAAAAGGTGTGCTACAGATAGATCACAGAAACCAAATTCTGCCTTTATTTACATGTTTGCAGATTTCTTGTTGTGTTTGTTCTGTAGGAAGTTCACAGGCATATAACTGAGAGCACAAAATTTTTCCTTGTGGCAAATCTCTTAAAACAGATCAAGGTATATTTTGTAAAGGCACATTCCATTGATAAATTGACTTGAGGATCCACTACATGAGTTTTACCAGCCTTGCTAAAAACACCCAAAACCTGTGAAACAAGGATTCATAAACTTTACAATGATTTATTGGTAAGAGGGCAACAAAAATACCTAATTTCTTCTGTGGTCTGTTGAATCTCAAGGAATGGGTGTCCTTTCTAAAACTTATTTTTTGTAGGTCTATTAACTTTTGAAAATTCTGAGTAACTGCCTTTGGCTTGGTCTCTCTGATGCAATATACTTTGGGGAAAATGTTAGAAGTGTCTACAAGACTTTAGAAGACTAAATCTAACTAACACTCAGTTAGACTTACGCACTTTCAAACTTACCCTGATCATAAACTTCTTGTAGTCAAAGATGTGATAGTGTTACTCCCTTAGTAGATAGGCAAAGAGCTGCAATAATGCCAATTAATTCTTCGCAACAGGTCATAGGAGAGGAAGTGCCTGATAGAAATAATGATATTTTTTCAGAATGCTTTTGCTGCTTCTTCCCTAGCTGGAGCAATGAAAAGAAAGTGGAGCTAGAGGAAAATGAATTTAAAGTAATAATCTAAAATAATGGCACTGGTGGAGATAATGTTTATGCTGATAATCAAGGAATAATTGACCTAAGCATCAGACATTATCTGTCAGTGTCCTGAAAACCCTCATTTCGCTTCTCTTTCCTCACACTGTCCCCCTGTTACCAATAAATAAACTTTAATGAGGAAGTGAACAGCTTTTGTGAAGTACAGATTTCGCAGAATTAAGGGCATATAATATTAACGGCAGCTGTGTGCTGCATTCACTGACTTTTTTGCTTGGGTACATTGCAAGATGAAGGGAAAAAAAACCCCTGTATCTGTTAAAGACTGAGGTATTTGTATGCACATCTTTGGTTCCATTCTTTATGGAAATGTGTCCCTTAACTTCCTGCACAGGTACAGAATAATGCAAAATTAATTAAAATCTCTCTTTACCTGTCCCATGCAAATACAGGTCACTGCAAGGACACTTTCATAAACAAAGTTTCAAGCCCTGACTTTCTCCTCTGAGTTAAGGAATAGCATATTTTCTCCTCTCTGCTTTCTGCTTGTTATGTTTTGTCTTTGCTTTCTTTTTTTCTGCTGCTTGCTGCGGCACTGGTGCTGAATGTTGGTGAGAGGAAAACTTGACTCACTTCAGGAAATCATTTTCAGTGATTCCTTTTAGTACTGTATTTGCTTTTATTTTCTCAGGTAGTAGACTGATTAAAGTAGATGCTCACACAAATACTCAGTTTACATATTGCTGCTAAGCAGAAATACGTGAAACAAGGAAAAAAAATCTGAGAGCAAGAAATGCACAAATGCTGTCACTATGTGAGTGAATCCTTGGGCTGGCATAAACAGAACTTCAGTTTCTCAGATACGTTCAGCTGTGAGACTTCTTTTGCTCTTTTTGTAAGACAAATTTGCCTCCATGACATATTTCCACCACCACCCTCCCTTTTTTTTTTTTTTTTAATACCCTCACCCATCTTCCCTCTTTCCTCATCTTTCTTCCACTGATGTGGAGATGTCTGAAGAAATTTATAAAGCTCTTCCTGAACCACCACTTAGTCTGACATAGTGACCCAAGTCAATGCTGGCTTCAGTTTGCTTTAACCTGATGATTTGTAAACTGCGATGGCTTAGGAGATACTTCACATGCAATTCACTGATCTGTCAATGAGGATGTGACCTCCGCAAGAAGGGTGGGATGGCAAATGCAGTAACGGCTTTGGCTGCTTGAGTTTAATCTCTGTTGGATCAGCTCCACAGACCATTTTTGTTAAACACTCGCGTGAAAGGGATATGGTTGAGTTCTATGTTTAGTGCTGTGTATGCTGCTGAAATAGGCCCTTAGAGGAGGTACGGTACGTGGTGTGTTTCATGGGTCCCTGGAAAGCATCGTGCTTTAGGGAGTCCTATACCTCTTGTCTTGAAAGCACCCAGCTGGAAGGTGCTCTTGGAAGGATTTTTAAGCACAAAGCGGCAATGTCTTGAAACATGAACTTTTCAAGTGTTTCAAGAATGCTTGGAGTAAGCTTTTTGATGGAAATTTTGAGGGTTATCACAAGTCTAACAAAAGTAACTGGAATGCAGAAGATTGGTTTGAAAATACAGTTGTAAGCTTGTAGAACTAAGTTTAGATACCCTAGCTTTGTTTTCATTCATATCTGCGTTTTGTGTCCCTTTTCTGCTGGCCAGCCTATACCATAGGGAAGACATGAAATCCATGATGAGAAGATCTGGTAATAACAGGGCAATTTGTGTCCAAGCTTATCTAAGAAAGTAAATGCTTTAGTTACAAGTGTGTGTTAAAGCTGGCAGTTTTTCTGTGAAATAGGCATGTGAAATGAGGTTCATGAAATGTACCTAGATCAGAAATTCCTGATTTCATTAGATGATATTAACCAAGTATGTGGTGGTTCGCAGCATTTCCATAAGATATGTGATTCATATAGAAAATTGAAAGATCCTAAATTATATATCTGTGAAGTTAGGCCTTTATGTTGGAGGGAAAGTTAGTCATTCAGAAGACTGCAAAAACAAAAAGCTGTAGCAGCCCCCGCAGCTAAATGTGCAGCTGAGCTCTTTGTTCCAAAGAGGGTCCTGCTAATTTTCTTGAGGATCCTTATGGGCTGCACAGTCCATCCATGCAGACTGAATTAGAGACTTGGGAAATAATCTAACAGGAATTGATAAATCTGTGCAGCTTTTTAAGAGGAAAGGGGTTCCATGTTGAATACTGCCATGAAACCTTTTCAATAAACACTGTTTGGGCAAATGGTACTAAGAGAGCAGTGTTCCAGGATTTTTATTTAAATTGGTAGATTATATATCCATGAGAAGCTGGAAATTTGTATTATTTGTGGGCAGTGGTTGTAACAGATATTCTGCTCCTTGCATTTTCTAAATGTGGTCCTCAACTAGCAGTCACAGTAAACCAATATGAAATGGCAGCAAATCTTACAGGTTTGGCAGTAGCAGAGTACATTCCTTGGGATTGGGATCAAACCTCCAAAGTAACTTCTTCTTGAATGTGATTTGTGGGTTGCCGAATATATAAGCAATTTTATTTTCCTTTTGACTGTTCCGAGTCTGTCACATTCAGGCAAATTTAACCTATTGCAAATCCCCAGCTGGAGTTGGAGAAATGGTCTATCAGCATATTCAGTGTAACAAATGAATCTCATGAATGATGGTAATACACCCAGTTCAGATTGTGTATGAATTCAGAGCACTTTGGAGGTTGCTTCACATTGATCCTTGTTCCAATAGAATAAAAAACAACAAAAAAAGATGGGGAGGGAGAGAAAAATACATCATGTACATAAGAAGTGCAGTGACAGCTAAGAAAAGCAGGGAGAATACAATAATTGCATTGAGATAACTGTGCTAAACATTGAGAAAATATACTTTTGCTTTTAGGTTTGATATGAGCCAGGGCTTGTTCTTCAAAACTAGGTTTGTTACGGTGAGTTTTGACCTTTTTTTTAATATTGTATTAGGAATTTTAATAGAATTGCAAACTTTTTATTTCCATGACAACGTGTTGTTGGCTTTTAAATGTGCAAAATGTCCCGGTACTTTTGAGTCAAGAGGAACTGTGTTGATTGTAGGTGCTATAACCCCTAAGGAGTAATAAGTCACTCTATTTTAACTGTCTGTGTGAAAGCAGTTCACATGTTAATTTTAGTTTTCCTGCAGCACTGTGTTTTGACATTTGAGTGAACTTCAGGCCCTCACTTACCACTGCACCACTACAGCTTGATGGTGTGTAAAGGATGCTGTAAGAAGCTGGTAAATACAAAATCTGATTGTGAATGTTTGGGTATTTCTATTCTTTCTCAAGTGCATTGTGATACTGTGAATCATTGGGTTTTTTTTATTCTGAGTTAAGATTATTTAAAAAAAAAATGGTTGGAAGACATCTCAAAGTTTTGATTAATCCATCCCACACTACAAGGCACAACCACATCGTTCTCAACAGATGAAAATGTAGTCTGTTCTTAAAAACCTCCAGTGATAAAGTTACACGTTTCTCGATTACTGAAACCTGAAGCTATTTTGATAAATAATTTCAAACTAATTTCTTGCCTGCAAAATGAAAATAAGGGTGTTTATGTTCATGTAATCCCCCATGAGAGGAAATATTTTAAACAAAAGAAAGTGTGTGGGTGTAGGTGTGATGTGTGTACAAACGAAGATTAAATCATAGGCCTTGGTTTGTGAGGTGCTTACTATTTTTATTGGCCAACAGGTAGTATGGAAAGTTTTCTAACAGATGCAATAGAAGTAAGCAGATACTAATTTAAAATCAACTCTGTTTATTTTAATCGAGCGGCAGCCCCGTTGCTCGTTGCAGGGTACATTGTATTCCTTCCGCTTCTGACTGTGCTGGGGCAGTTTGTGCATGACTGGCAGAAGGACCGTTCCGCTCTACCTCTGAGATAAGGTAGCGTCGCCCCACGTCTTCTGCGAATGCTTCTTGCAGTCCAGAGGACTGCTCTTTGTGAGCTGGTAGATGCTTTCTAGCCCTAAATGCCTATATTGCTAACTGTGAGGTAATTTTTATTTCAACAAAAAGCCTAAATTAAAATAAACAGAATAGGATGATACGGACATCGCATACCTGACATCACCTTTTTAAAACAAAGGATCGACAGCTAATTGTGTTTGCCTTGAAGAGGTCTCAGACACTGATACAGGGAAGGGTGCTATACTGTGTTTTTTTAAATATCCAAGGCCAGTGATCTTTCCGTTATCAAATCTGTTAAGAGTTATCAAAGTTATTAAAAGTCATTCTTCTGAGAGTGCTTCAATTTCTTGGGCTGAGTAAAAAGCATCTTTATATGTGGAAATCCATGGTGTAGCTATTTCTGTGAACACTTGCAAACCGTGATGTCTAACTGAATATTGGGGCTTTTGGAAAAGTAGATTTTGGTGAAATTCTGCTGAAGTTAATGATTGTTTTTTGTTGGTTCTATATGACAAGTTTCTGCATAGTTAAGCAGTTCTTATTAGTCTTGATTTGGAGAACATAACAAGGAGCAATTAGAGAGGTGTAATTCTTCCATTTTTATGTGAGGTAGGCATCAGATACCAGTAACTTAAACCCACTTATATGTGACATTTGCTTTATTCCAGCAAAAAAATTTGAATTAAAACATGGCAGTCTCTATGCAGTGAGTACTGCCAATGGCGTATATAATTTTGGATCAAAATTAACACTTGATGTTAGCAGTTCCAAATGCTAATCCTTGGGATTGTGTCTAATATAAGTCAGTGGAAATTTTAAGAGACTTTATTGGCAAGAGAATTAGAGTAGTCCTGAGTTTTCAAGATAATCTTACCGAATGCTTTAATCAGTATCCCAATATTTGTTTTCACTTAAATGTCACAGAAATTGGAATTTGTTCCAATGCCATATATTGGTATTTATTCTTAATAAATACAACTCCTTTCTTCAGAGCAATTAGAGAAGTAATTATTCGCAGGTCAGTGATGAACAAGACTGCATGTGGGTTTTTTACTCTTTTCTAAACTGGGAGTGGATTTTATGTATATAAGGGCAAAGAATGAGCAACTTTCTCTTTCAATGTGACATAAATCCAGATGCTGCAGATCGTTATATATGAGTGATATTTGCTCCTCTGAGCAATTGTGTTTAAAGTCTAATGGGTTATTGATATCAGAAAGTGCAAATTTAGCTCATGATTTTTGTGATACACCCAAAATAATTTTTTCCTTGATACATCTGTAATGTATCTTGCTGTACAAAATACTGTACCGGTCTAATTAGATTCTTAGTGTAAGCAAGATACTCTAACAGTGTTGCAATGATGTACCCAAGTGGGAACTGGTGTATTATAGTGAATGTCATGTTACCTTTTCCTCTTCAATCGAGGTTGAATTTGTATTTGTAGAGGTGGGAAGCTAATATACCAGCCCAGTGGTGTGGTAATCATTAGTGCAGTCCTTAAATGTGAGTAAAAAAAAATACGGCAGAGGATCTGTGTTTTCACACAGAGGTGCTTTAAATGAATGGTGTGATGCATTCAAAGAACAAAAAACGCTGCTCATTGCAAATGAGTCTGTTTTTTTATTTCTTAACTCTGCATTTGAACTGCCAGAAAAGGAATATTATGAAGCACAAAGACAATGGTGCACATCTCAGTCATGCATTTATTTCCTTTTCCTGTTTTGTGTCAGACTAATGTATGCGACAAAGACCAACTCCTCTTTGACTGGGATGCCTGCAGTTACTTGTTTAATCTGCAGTTAGGATTTAAATAGAAATGTAATTGTTTCAAAGTATCTCCTCAGTTTCTCCTTTAGAATGTCTAGCGGTGTCTACAAACTTATAAAGGAGTTATAGATCCTATCACTTTTGAAATGGAGGCGATCTGATTTGGAGCTCTGAGTTCAATAGATGTAAATTTCCCATTTTTAACTTATGTTGGGAATGGTTCCTTTTTCAGTAGAAAGGTAAGTCTTTTCCTCCATGGAGACAACACCAAAAAAAAGTGCTTTCTTGAGACAGCTAGTTTCAGTAGCTGCTTGGATAATTTCATCAGCAGTAAATCTTAACTGTGTTTGAAATTGTGCTAACGTTTCATAAAGTGTAGTAAAACATAATTTTGTTCCCTTAAAATAATATTTTTTAAAATGCTTTAAAAAAAATCACAAATGCTGCCACAAAATTTTAGCAAAAAAAACCTGCATGAAAGAATGTGCTGTAATTTCCAACAGAAATTCATAAATGGAAGTATTCTTTAGAAGGAAAAAACCAGAGCCACTGCTGAGGTTGTATAAAATACCTATAGAACTGCCTAACATATATTTATCTTCCAGAAACTTGAAGACTTGTAGCACTTCAGCAGTAGTCCAGTCTTAATTACAGTGACCAAAATCCCTTTGACTTAAGTGGGGCTTGTTATGTGTTGAAAGTTTATTAAGTGCATATGTGACCATGAAATTCTGATGACAGTGGCCCAAACCTGAGCACATGTACAACTTTTGCTACCTTTAGTTGTTAATGAAATGTTGTGGATTTCATTTATTAAAACTAGATGGATGTGTACAGTGAAGATCACGGAGTAGTAATTGTAACTATTTTGATGATGATATGTTAGAGGCCATTATGGAGGGGAAAATGTTGTCTGTTTCACGTAGTTTGAGATATATCTATCTATCTATATATATATATGTATATTTGGACACTTCAATGAGTAGTCTGCTTCTGTTTCTTTTTTAGATCTTTATTTAATACACTGGCCTGATGCACATGTTCCGGGTAAAAGTAATCGAGAGGTCCGAGCTGAAACCTGGAGAGCAATGGAGGAGCTCTATGAGAAAGGTGACATAATAATGAAAACCTATTTTGGCAGAAGGAAATATCATGTATTTTGGGACTTGGGGAACTCATAGTGAGAGATGTTCAAAAACTTAATTTGAACTGGATGCTCATATTTCAGTGGGATTTGGGGGTGTGAATTATGTGAATCTCTTTGGAAATTGCAGCATTAGCATTTTGGTAAGTTAAATAAGAGAGCTTTGTGTTGCTTGCAGATAATACGCTGCCAAATTCTGCCCTGAAATTAGTGATGGTGGGCATACTTTCTTGAGGAAATCTACAGATTGCATTGAAATGTATGTGCCGCTACAGAACACCTTTGTGGTGGCCTCCTCTGTTTTAACTATAAATCATGCCAAGTGTTACTTCCTTTGGTGGTTTTTTTTTTAGTTGTATGATGCTATTTTCCAATATATCATATATTGTAGTACTTCATAGATCCATCTGTGTTTTAGAAAAGGTCAACAAAACAAATACAGAACTGCAGAATCTTTAGTACTAACTTTTGGGGGAAAAAAAATTCAGAGAAGGGAGCTATTCTCTCAAGCTCTGATAACTGTCAATTGGATTTTTGGTGCACTGCAAACTTCAGTTTACGTTCATGGCAATAGGAAGAGTAGAGTGTCCCAATCAAAATTTATCATGTAGATTTAAGAGGATTTTGCTCCTGAAGTATGCAGTATTATTAGCAACAACGTTGTAAGAGAAGGTCCTGTCTTGCAGTTCTTGGGCAATATGGGCCACCCTGTTTACAGCTTCAGAGAAGTTCCACAGACAGGGAGAAGACTTCCTGGATTAAGTAGGCTATCTGCTAACCCAGAGTTACTGCAGTAGTGACTGTAGCAGGAGAGTTGTACAAAGACAATTACAGGCTGTGTGCCACTACCCGTTTTATCAGAGCGATGAACAAACCTGTTCTCTTGCACTTCAACCCTTCGGTTACTTTGGGTCTGCCTCTGGAAACACAGAAGTAAATTATCTTTGATACAAAGTTTCTTCTTGCTTTTTATATTAAGCATAAGTGAAGTTGCAAAAAGTGTTTTCTGCCATGGAAGGGATTACAACATTCAGTTTTTAAACAAACACTACACCGACCTAATATTTCAAAGCATCAAGGACTTCTAAGTCCAAAGATGGATTATTTGACAAGCTACTTCATCTTTCCATTGAGAAGGTTTTTTTCTGATGAGTATTTAAGTTAGTGCATGTCATTAGTGCCTAGATATGCCATCTTAATTTGCTGCAAACAGGTTGTATTTTCACCTTGTATTGTTATTCCTATCCTGTTGGCTTTATTTTGCTCTTGCATGTGTGTTTGTGATCTTTCCTGTCTCACGCAACTCTTTCTTTCTCTCCCTGTCTTCCTAATGGGAAAGACTGTGAGCTCTTCAGTGGTTTTCCAGTCAGACACTGGAAATACCATCACTGGCGTCATAAGCAGAGGAAAAATTACCTTTATTTCTTGTTCCTATGAGTAATACCTCTTCACAGACATCCCATGTTACATTTATTTTTCCTGCAATTGCATTTCTTCAACAGTTTTGTCAATTTGCGTGTTGCTACCCTCAGTCTTTTTCTGAATTTAAGCATTCTGTAGACTCATGATTCATTTAGCTGAGTGTAAGTTTTCCAGCTCTGGTTGTCTAAATTACCTCAGTTAGATCATCTCCAGCGGAAGGAAAACTTATAAATCTGGTTGAATCAAGTGCCTTAGAACATTAATGTCCCCATTTTTGCTTTAGGGGATACAGATTCTAGATGTCCTGACCATAACTATGTGTTATTGAAACGACAGGCAAATCGTTAACCACTCTGGACATGGAAATGCAATGATTCCTGAGGAAAATGTTAAATAATTTGTTTGCATGGTTAACCACTAGACTTTCCACTGAAGATTAAACACTTGCTGCATATCTTTATGTGACTTGCTATGTGTTATGTGAGCAACATGTGAGCCTTGGCATGAACTGAATATAGGATTTGGTCAAAGTCCTTACTTGAGGAAAAAACCCCATCATCTTCGTCTATTGAGGGAAAAATTGTAAGTTCTGTACTCAACAGGTGAGTTCTTTGTCTTCTTTGAACCTGACATTTGGTTCAGGTTGTCATTAGTTCCTGTTTGCAACCCTGTTACTTTTTCTTTTTAGGAAATGTTTATTCTGGGGAAAAAAAAAAAATTAGTAGAAACTAAAAGCTTCACACTTCAGGATTGACCATTCAAACGAGTAATACACTTCTGCAGTGAATTCACAAAGGAAATACTGAAATTATTCTAGTTGCTAGTGTGTTTAGCAGCTAGCTGTGTCCACGCTGAACTGCAGGGACAGTAAACACTGCTCTCTGTAGAAAAACAATTGTTTTGTGTGGTGGGACTGATAATGCGTATCCATCTGCAGGAGGCTTAGGAGATGGTTAAAAGATCTCAATATTGACCTAAGTCTTTGGTCTGGCTGAAGTTAACAAGATTTTCTTCAATTACTTCTCTGTATTCACGGATCGTTTGGGTGCAGATAGTTGAAAATCTCATTCTTTTGACTTCAATTTAAATGCAGGTTAATGTTTATTCTGCACAATTCCACTTACCTGGGGCAAGCAATATTTTAAAATAATGTAAATTACTCATAATCATTTTTATTGTTATTACCAATTGCTGCAGCAGGAGGATGAATAAACTGTTAGTAACCAAGACTGTAAAAGTCTTTAATGCAGACTTTTTTAAGATTGTGTTAAGTTTTAGATTGGTCACAAAGGTCACAAGTTGACATAAGAAAAATCCCAACTGCATCTACATTCACAGCTTTGAGATTTTTATTTTTTTTTAGGTCATGTCTACAAAGCTAGATTCAACCAGGTTCATCTGAGAGCCAGCACATAGCAGCTGAGACACAGGGCTGCAGTAGCACAACTTGCAGGGCTTCTGGCATCTTCTCACCCAGCAAACTGAGGAGACACCAGAGATTCTGGGTCTGTCCCCCTGGTCAGGTCAGCATGCACTAATTTATAAGATGCTGCCCCCAGATAATAAAAAATCTGTGTGACAGGTTAAAAAGAAATCTGAATTATTTGTCAAAAATATTAAAATAAATGCTTTGGGAAACAGAAAACTTGCATAAAATGTTGAGTCAAATTTTAGTAGACTCCTAAGTACCTCTGGCTGTAGAACTAGCAGGTTTATTGTTATTTGAATGCAGCATGTGCCAGTGAAATTGGTGTGTAAACCGGTAGGTGTGCATTCATGGAGATGTGTGGGCATCTTTAAATTTACTGTTTCTTAATCCTTGACTGCTTAGTAGTGCTTCCTATATATATACTCTTAATGAAGGTTTGGAGTTGAGCTGTTACATCAGAATATTCTCCTGAATAGAAAATAATAGGTTCAGGTGACGAGAAATATCCTTTGCTATCTCTGAAAAATCCCCACTGTGGCTTACCTCTATACTGTTTTTGTATTTCATCAAAAGGTGTTTGAGGTTAACGTTTTTCAAAAGAATCTCTTGTCCTGATGCTATTTGAATGGGAAACACAAACAATTTAAAATGAGAACCTGAATAGTATTTGTTAGAGATCTGGTTACCCTCTCCAGTTGACTGCGTACCATGCTGTAGTTTTGGCCTGCACTCCTTGGATCCAACGTGCTTTGTGTCTTTGGAAACTAAACAGAATCTGGTTACTGCCCCAAGGCTGGGGAGCCCCAAGAACACACTTGAAAGCAGGTTTCATATTTTAGCACCTTCACCATTGTGCTTGAATCCACAGTTGCCTAAGGCAACTGAGCAGCTATCTCAAGATCTGCCTTCAGGTTAAAACAATTTCTCAGAATCCTGGATGTTTTTCTTGAGATTTTTCATGAGGGAGACCATGACAGGTAGGAGAGAACACCCAAAAACACTCAGAGGGATTCTGAAGCCACTGTTGTCCTTTACTGTAATAGTATGAGATAATACATTTATTATCTATATTAAAGTAACACACCCGAAAGTTTTACCTTCTTCAGGTGTTTTAATCCCTCTGGGTTGTGTCTGGAACATGGTCCTGTGTCTTTCTGATTTGTCTTTCAGCTACAGATTTTTTTGGCCAAACATGCTCATCTTTTATTTTCTCCTGACTAACTCCTTCAGTATGTTTCTTGGAGTCCATTAAAAGTCCTACCAGCATCTTTCCTTCTTTAACCTGAAATCTGTATATTTTTACCCTCTACCCTTTCTTCCCTATGAAAAAGGCAAGGTTATACTTTTAGTTTGCTTTTTTAGTATTCCTGTTGTATAGCCAGAGTCCAGTCATTAAATTTGCTGGTTTCCCTAAATATCTTTCCAGGGAAAAATGTCATACAGTCCTGGAGAGCAAAGGTAGATGCGTATCTATGGTGGTATACAAACCTATAGCAATTGTATCATTCCATAACATGAACCAGGACTTATAAATTGTATGTACCTTTGCCCAAATAAATGACAAGTGTTCTAATATACTTTTTGTATTTAATGAATCGTAACACTGCTTGATTCATGAGATGTTCACATGCTGGTTAAGAAAGGATTCAGTGCAGAGATTTCTGTTTTGTCTTCCAGTCTGTTGTCTTCCCTAAGTCTTCAGACGCTGGGATTTGCATGCACTTAGGCCCAGCCTTGCTTCCAGAGGGAATTGTGCCATCTCTTTTAGTAGCTCGGGGATCAGAATTCTGCACCTGGCCTTGGTAGTCAGCCCAAGTGATCGGATGATTTTCTAACGGAAAAGCTCCTGAGGAACTGCAGCAATTCCCACTCTCAGTCATTGCAGCTGCTTTATGTTGAGAATTAAGAACAAATGAATGGGGGAGGATAATTACAATTTTTTTTACTGTTTCTAGAATTGTAGTGTGTACCTGAGAGTACAGGAAAAAGGCACTACCTGCACTAAAAACTCCCATTTAAAAATGCTGGGTGAATTCTGATAGACCAAGCTGATAACTCTTTATTCATAGCTGGAAAGACCTTATTGTTAAACTGGTTTCTACTAGCTGAGGACAA